CTGATGAAAATAAAACAAGAACAAGATGAATCGGTAACGGGATATACAAATAGATTTGAAACCTGTGCAGAAATTTTAAAAAATAGTGTGCGATCACATGAAAAACGAAAATAGTACATCGCCGGGTTAAAAAGGGAATTATGGGAGAAAATCGAGTTGAATTTTCTAGCTGATTTTGATGAAGCCAAGAATTTGGCGGTAAAGATCAAAGCGTATGGCAAAGATAATAAGTATGATACCAAAAGGGCGGCTAAAACATTGGTTGAAGAATCAAAAAGGGGCAATAATTTTGATATTGATAGTTTGACGGCCGCGATGGATAGTTTGAAAATATCTAGAGTAGACAAGAGGCCCGATGACGACATCCAAGAGATTAAAGACGCTATGAAACAGTTGACGAAGGTAATTACAGATCTTGCTACCAATAGTGGACCACAACGGTGAAGTGATCGAAGTACGGGGTCTCTACAATGTTACGCATGTCATAAGGAAGGCCATATATCATGTGATTGTCCAGAAAAGGTTCTGAAAAATTGATTTCCAACTAAAACTGAAGATCGATGAGAAAGAGATGGCCCGAAAGATGAGAGTATGGGTCAAAAAGGACCTGATGTACGGCTTGTAGATATATTTGATGGAAAATCGAGTGGTAGTCTGGAATATCTTATGGTCAAATTAGTAGATAATGAAGGTGGTGGTCAAAGAGATAATTTTAATAATATAAAGAATTTGGGTAAATGAAGGCAACAAGACTGGATTGATACTCCTAATAAGAAAGGAAGGCTACGTAAAACGGTAAATACAAGGCAGGAAGAACCATTGGTGTCCACAAAAGACAGGAACAAAGGAACAATAATGTATATACCACTATCGGACTTGACAGAAGACCTAGATGTATTGAAGACTGTGGCTGATCTCAAATTTGATATAACTCTTGAACAACTGTTTAAATGGTCACCAAAGGCAAGAAATGAAATTATGAAGGCTTTAGCTCAAAAAAGAAAAGACGTCGACGCAATGAATTTGGATGTCAGGTTGCGATTTGTTCAGGGAAGTCGAATATCAGGAAATGGAGGTGACATTGTTCTGATATGGCCTGCATTTGTGAATGGGGAACAAGTTGATGTGCTGATTGATCCGGGTTCGCGTTTGAATTTAATGCATATTGATTACGCAAGAAAAAGGGGTTAATCTGGCAGCGAGCCTATGGTAAAGGGAGAATGGCGGATGATAGAGTGAACGATTTTGTGGTCTATATTCCTCAAGTGAGGGTTGAAATGGAAGGAGTAGTTACAAATCAAAATTTTTATGTGATGGAGTCAGCAAGTTTTGATGTTTTATTAGGGATGCCATGGTTAGCTGGTGCACAGTGTAATCTTTATTGGAGAGAGAATGAATATTGGTGCATGTGTCGTCTGCGAATAGAGAATCGTCGTTTGTAGTATCGGTGGTGCCAAGAAATTGGTTGGAAAAGAATGATGTAGATCAATTCGACGACTACGATGAAGAGGATCGAGAAGAAATTAATCAAGTATCTGTTGTCAGAAGAGTTCAAGTAATAAGAAATGAAATGAAAGAATTAGAGAGAAATGAAAAAGAGTTTACCTTGTTAAGTAAATGGGAAAAATCACGGGATCTTTCTATTGGAAAGAAGAGTCGATTGGAGATTTTGAAACCTGTAATATTACGAAGATTAACCTCAGAGAATGTAAATTTGTTGAATATTGAACCTGAACTTTCATTAGAGGAGAAACAATATGTAACGAATCATTTAATTAAAGAAGTATCTAAAGTATTCGCTTTCGATATGTCTGAGTTGGGACGAACCAATTTGGTAGAATATGAGGTGCGAACTGGTAGCACAGAAATACCGGCTATGAGACTTAGACCAATTCGAATTAACAATCCTGAAAGAGCTCAGTTATTTGAGGAACATTTAAGAGATATGATCAAAAACGGTCTATTGGAAGAGGGACATGGACCCTATGCTTATCATTGTTTCCTTGTAGATAAAAAGGAGGGCGGCACTGATCGAATTCGAGCTGTAGAGAATATGAGACCGTTAAATAAGCATATTATCAAGGATAGTTATCCACTTCTGACTATTAGAGATATATTGGAAAAGGCGGCAGGTCACGAATGGTATTCAAGCGTTGATGCGTTCAAAGGATATTGTCAGATACGTATATGGGAGGAAGACCAGGACAAGGTGGCCGTTTCGATGTCTTTAAGGGTTTTACGATATACTGTGATGTGTATGGATTTAAAAAATCTAGTGAGACTTTTCAAAGATTGATGGATTTGATCCTAAAAAATGATGAGTAGAAGCGATTTGCCGCTGCATACCAAGACGATGTGGGACTATGGACCGATGGCGACTTGGAAAATCATGTAAACGTGTTTATTAAATTAGTTAGAACATTTGAAAAGGCAGGACTCACATTCGCAGCGAAGAAATGTTTTGTGGCGTATAAAAAATTAAATATGTATAGTTTTATTGTGAGCAAAGAAGGAATAAAAGTGGATGATAAAGGTTTGAAGAAGGTGCGAGATTGGAAGGATCCGAAGAGTTCAAATGAAGTAAAGTCGTTCCACGGCACCATAGGATATTATCAGCATTTCATAAAGAATTTCAGTAAGATTGCAAGCCTGTTAACAGACTTGATGAAGAAAGATAGTGAATTTCGTTGGGGCGTTGAACAGAAGCAATCGTTTGAGAAATTAAAGGAAATATTGTTGGAGGAAGTAGTTTTAAAAGGACCTGACTGGGAAGGTGTGAAAAGTGGTAAGAGACCATATCAATTGTATACCAACACATGTGATATTTCACTTCGAGCAGTCTTAGAACAAGCTGATGAAATGGGAAATTTAAGACCGATAATATTTGATTCAAGAAAATTAAATAGACATGAGATCAACTATACAGTTACAGAAAAGGAATGTTTAGCAATCATTTTTGGTTGTAAAGCAAACGAATGATATGTTGGAGGTATGACGTTTAATATATAGGTTGATCATCAAGCCCTTGAGTGGTTATTTAATAAGGTAGACCTGAGAGGAAGACTGATGCGATGGGTCTTAGCATTACAATTGTTCAAATTCCAGGTATATTATAAGAATGGCAAAAGACATGGAAATGCGGATGGAATGTTGAGATATCCAATAGACCATATGATGGAAAATAAGGACGATGATGAGTTTATTGATGGAATGATTATGCGCGTGGATAGACTCAATAATAGAAAGCAAGATCTGATTTGGATAAAAGAATTTCTGACAAGTTTCATTTGGGCATGTGATGTGAAAGCTGGGGATTTACTGCGATTACGACAGAAAATGAAACGCTATTGTGTAATTGGAGAACATTTGTTTAAGAGGAGTAGAGGTGGTGTTCCACCAAAACGAGTGATCTTTGACGATGACGAAAAGAATCGTATTTTGGTGGCAAATAATCGTGGGTTAGCTGATGAAGAAAGACATCGTGGAATTAATGGGATGGCAAGAAAAATTTTGATGAATTATTGCTGGGCTTCTGGTAATGTGTATGAAGACGCAGAAAAATATATAAAATCTTGTATAAAGTGCCAAAAATGTGCACTGAAATCAATTAAGGAGCTACTTCACGTGACCGCGACTAGTTGGATTTTTCACAAATTATATATAGACTGTTTGGGGCCTCTGTCTAGAACAACTAGCGGTTACGAACATGTTGTATTAGCAGTTGAGGAGTTAACTGGTAATGTAGAAGAAAAGGTGTTAAGAAGAAAGAATACAAATGTGATAGCCCAGTTTATATGGGATGAAGTCATCACGAGACATGGATGTTTTGCGATTCTGGTTTCGGATAGGGGTACACAATTTAAAAACAATATACTAGAAGAGTTGTCGACACAATTGAACGTTGATCAACGATTTGTAGCAAGTTATCATCCAGAAGCCAACGGTTGGGCAGAACGTACTGTACAAAAATTTATGAGGATTATTAGAAAGATATGTGCCGAAAAACAGAATAAATAGCACGAATATGTAAGAAGTGCAATTTGGGCTATTAATGTTACTGTTAATGATTTAGGATATTCTCCTTTTCAGTTGGTTTATGGACGGGATGCTATTACACCAATTCAATTAATGTTGGAAAGTAATCAAGTATATGTTGCGAGAGGAGAATGGTTGACAGATGATTTGTTGGAATATCGTACAAAACAAATAAAGGGGATGGTAGAGGATTTAAGAAATGCGCAAATTGAGAAGAACGAAATAAGGCAACGATGGAAAGAAATACACGATCAAAAATCAAAGAAGAAAGAAACTTACCAGAGTGGTGATTTAGTTTTGGTGTACGATTTGACATTGGAAATGACGTCCCGAAAATTGGATTATCGTTGGATGGGTCCCTATAAAATTCAAAGATTGGAAGATTTGGCCAAGTGTATTTGAATGAATTAGATGGTTGTAAATTAAGGGATCCAATAACAAGGAATAGGGTCAAGAAACTTTTTACCTGGGATGAAGATTCACCTGATCATAGCGATCAAAGATGGTGCCAAAACGACGTGGACCTCGAGGACGAGGACCAGAAGGGGTCTAGCTCGTGTCACATAGTTTCTAGACAACCCCTGAACCTGGTAAGGGGAATGCTAATGGACCATGACTTGTATACACAAGCAAGAATAACAAAAGAAGGTTGGGTAGGCTCTTCGACGGGGTCACATGATCGTAT